AATGCTGCAGCACTGACTCTCCCGTTGGCCAATATAGCACACTTGCTGAACAAAGGTTTCTTGTTACCTTTTAAAAGAAATGGAACTTTACAGTCTAGCTTACCTAGGCTCCCAAACATGTCAGCAGCTTAAGTACACCCTTTTCTAGAGCTCAAACTTTGGGGGCACTCAAAGTTTACAACTGACCTTCAACTACAATTCAGAAACCTGTGAAATCAAGATAACATATGTTAGGTGCCTTTGCAAAGTCCATTACTCTTTCCTTTACCTAGCACAGGAAAATACAGACCAAGACAAAATAATAAACACCTATACACATCCCCTGCTGTGGTTTTCTACAGTCACTTATTCCCCTTACGCTTAGATCAGCAACTGTTGAAAGAGACCATAGCTTCCCCTATAAATCATGGAACCTCTCTGTCTCTTTCTTGCTTCTGTACCAGGAGTTTCCTCATTCTTCAGCTGATCCCACAGTTAAACAGGACCCCTCAGTTAAAAAAAACAAACCTGTACCTTGTTCCTGCCCCAATTTCTTTGTCTCTGTGAATCCCCCCCAGTACCTGACCTCAAGCCTCTTAGGATCTATGCTTTAATACCCAGTGCTAATACCCACCTGATGTCTTTGTCATTTTCTTTCATGTATTTGCTTTCTCTAGACCTCATTCCCCTTCAAAGAAATTGGAGAAAATGGTTTTTACCTAGGCTGTGGCCTTCCAATTGTCCCAAGGTGCTCCCACTGTCACATTAACATCATTCATTGACCCTGCTCTAAGAGATATATAACACAGTATTGACAGCATATGACTAACTCTACATACACCAAGGAATTCAATTTTATGGCTCCAGCCATAATTTGAAAAATTGTATCAGAATGATTCCTTTATTGGAAAGGCTGACAACCTGTGCCATGGGCAGCCTCTGTGTGTAGCATATAGTAGCTTGGGGAGGTGACTGGCAAATAGGGCAGGAAAAAGTAAGAGGGCAAGAAGCAGAAAACAGAGCAGCAGATTAGGCAAAAGAAAGGGATTGAAGAGGCAGTCAGGGAGGGTGCAGAGCTAATTTGTAGACTTTCC